TGATATCAAAATGATGGATGTGCAGATGGAAAGTAGGGAGAGGAAGAATACATGCGAGTAATATGAGTAGGATGTTGCTGTTGGAATCTATGATAAAAAACAAAAACATTATATCCACATTTCTTTCAGATCATGCTGTTGGAATTATTGTTTGATTTCTTCTTTGTTTCCTTACAGACCTGATGGTATTTCCATGCGAAAGAATCCGTACATTCTATTCGCATATATAGTATTTATTCAAATATATATATCAGTGTGTCATGGATTTGATGCATCGAAGCTAGTAATTAATTCAAAAGCTTCGAAACTGATATGCATTAATACTGTCACTAATATTTGTGTGCGTTCAGGTAATTGATTTGCTGCTTTTCAAGGGATTGGAAGAGTTGAAGAATGTTGTAAACCATTCAAAGCAAAGGCACCATATAGTTGGTCAATACGTGGTCGGCAGGCGTGGACTGGAGCAGCAGGAGTTGGCTGCAAAAGAGCAGGGCATCTCAAATTTCCTGAAGAATTTCTACAACAGCAATTACTCTTGAAGTTTGATAATGAGACGCGTTCTCTGTTTCCTCAAATAAAGAACTGTCTTAAATGTTATGTGGATCAATACAAGATGAAGTTAAGACTGTTTGTTTCAGATCAAACTGTTACTTTCATTATTATTCATGGCTTAATTTGAGAACGTGATGTTTTGCTTAATTGTTGTGCATGCTGAAAATAATAGCGATGTATTTTGAGTAATGGCATAATGCAGGTATTAATTTTTTTTGTACGTCTGTCATTTACATTTCCCTGTAGTTTTGCCATACCTCCAGTTCGATGATCAATGCCACCTTCGTTTTTAGCAAGGTAAGATTCTCTTTGTATTCAAAATCACCTTCACTTTTCTTGAGTGCCTGTTGCCCACCATCCTCCCACAATTGTGAATTGTGAAGCCCTGCAGAAGGGCACTGTCTAGAACCATGTCGAAATCACTAGAGCTAGTACTTCTTTACTTTTGAAGGAAATTGAATTACTCAGAATACTTCAATTTCTGTGGGAGTTGTTAAACTAAAAAAACGTATTTATATTTAACGTTGCAAAAAGACTTGTTTTTTTTAACCCCAAAACAAAATTATTTATAAGTGACTAATTTGATTCTCTTATAATGTCAAGTACTAAAATATACGTTTCCAACTTTTATCGGTTTGCTTTTGTTTTCTCACAAATTTCTGCGGGAACAAATGGGGAGAGTATTTCTTCTTTATGTACTAATTGTGGGGAAAGTCTTCATGTACTACTCCATTTGTTTTAAAATGAATGTCGTTTACGATTTTTGCACATAGATTAAAGAATGTAATAATATTGTTATAAGACGTTATATTTTTATAAAATTAACCTTATTAATATATTAAAAATAGTGTCTAGAGTAAAAAATAAATGACATAATTGATAAAATAGTAATCATATGAAAATTATTTTAAAATTACAGTTATTGAAAGGAAGAGAGGAATACTAACTGTGGTGGAGAGGTTGAGACAACATTTCATATGTTGTGAGAGGCTGAGACAACACTGAAAAGTGCAATCTAAAAAGAGGGTCTACATTGGTTGGAAGATCCTAATAAGAAGATGGTCTACGTTGTTAGTTTATCTTACGGTAGAAAGTTAGTCGAAGATCCTACCTGACATAATTATGGGCAATTACAAGTATAGCGGGGTGGTTCCTACTTTAGGGCATAGCTTTTATAAATGGTAATTTTTCTTTTCATCCTATAGTAAAAACTTTAGGGCATAGCTTTTATAAATGGTAATTTTTCTTTTCATCCTATAGTAAAAAGAAATACGTATTCTCTAAAATGTTTTCGAAAATCATATATATATTTTTAGTGTGCATAATTTTTATTAAATATTGTCTAAAAATTGGAAATATATTTCCAAAATAAATTGAAAATGCATATCTGATTTTTGTGCAGATAGTACCAGAAAGACTTATGCTGGTAGTGAGTTTTTTTGCGCGTTGTTTCACATTGAATACAAAGACGTATATAACAAAATATATTACAAAGACATATAGAACAAAGAGAAAAATAGATATCAGTAAACAATACAAAAGGTGTCCGTAGTCAATATAGAGGATAATCCAAAATCATATCCAAATACAATAAAAAAACAAATAATAACCAATATACATATACAACATAAAATACTACTGGGTATGGAGGACTCTGACTCGGTCCCTCCCCCTTCTGGCATTCCTCTACTGCCTCCTGTACTGTAGAGTCTCCCGAGCCTCCGTCATGATGGCATCCAGAACACCTCTGACATCAGAGTCATCAGGAAATAAACCACAATCAATACCTGTTTGTGCAATGTCTATGATACGATGACTCCTATGTAACACATATGTGGCATAATCGGCATGTGCCTGCTTCTCCTCTAGAATCTCCTGATGAGCTGACCTCGAAGGATTTCCTAGAGCATCCTGTACCAGGTATGAATGGGACACTTTGAAGAATCATATGATATAACCGTCCACGTAGCTCCAGTCGTCCAGAGGCAAGAGGAGCCTGTGATGCCTGACTCTTTTCTCTCTACACAGAAGTATATTGTGCAAGTTGGTCGTGTCTCAATCTAGATGGTCTCTCAGCCATTACTCTTGTAGAAGTACGAAAAAAATGTTAACACAATGACCACTGTTCAAAATAGATGGGATAATAGAAACAGACTAAAATCAAATATGCATTTTCGATTTTGTTCAAAATAAAAATCGAAAATGCATTTTCAGTCCGATCTGCAATTTCAAGCTTCGTCAATGGCGAAGAAGAGGCACATACATCCTCAAACAAAATGTAATTGATCATCAAAATGATACTTCCAACAGTTAACTAATGATGTCAAATATTGAAAACAAACAACAAAATCCCAATTTCTAACCTAAAACACTTATTTGAGTAGAAATTACATAAACTCTAAAAAACTCAAAAGCAACGTACAATTGTTGATTTTTCTTGATCGAATGTGGTTGGACACTTGAGTTAACTGATGTTTGACAATTTGTGACGAGTTTTTTTGCGAATTTGGTTTGATTTTTTAACAATCGTGTTTGGGAGAAATGAGTATTTGAGTGTGTTATGTTTTTGTTGTTTTGAAAATAATTCTGTAATGAGGGAGGGGAAGAGGTGTGACGTGTTTAAGTTGTAACCAGAATCGGAAATATATTTTCGGTTTATACCGTAAGTGCAATTTCGATTTATATATTGCATATAACCTGGATTCCTATGCCACAATTGTGTTTGGGGAGCAAACCGATATATATTTCTGATTTCCATCGAACTTTTTCCTATCTTTTATGGCTAACGTGGTGTGTACCGAAAATATATTTATGATTTTAAGGGGTATTAAGGAAATCTTGCGTGGTGCGCAAGAAAATTATAGGGTGAAAAAAAAAGTCCTCTTAAAAATTTTAGCTTTGAATTGACATAGCTAGAGGTGCAATTTAGAGATATTCAAAAGACTAAAATTAGTTAGCCAATCAGCACAACGACTATTTAATGAATGTCTGTTTAATTTTATAACTAATTTTGCAATTTTCTCTTTGGACTCCGCCCTTACAAAAATAAAACACTGTTTCACTAAAAAAAAAGATAATTTCTCATCCCACTCTTACTATGAGACATATTCTTGAAATTTCAAAAATACCCTTGAATAAATTTAAAAATGCATATCCGAACACAACCTTCACAAAATAATCATTCCTGAACTCATTTAATGTGCATTTTTATTGAAATTGGCACATTTGTCGGAGATTTTTTTATCGATTTTACCAATATAGAATCATAAATTGTATATTCGTGTTCTAGCCATTGCGTTCCTGCGTTTCTGTCGTTTACGTGATCTAACGTAAAAAATTCGATTTTCTAAAAATTTGAATCTGAATCAAAATTTTACCATACCAATTTATCAGGAAAAAAACCAGAGATCAAAATTTCTTATTTTAGGACAAAATAGGAGACACCATCCTAGAAACTCTAAATTTCTTGTTTTTCTATTTAATTTAATTTACTTTCCTTCATATTTTCGGAAAAATTCGAAAAAAATTATAGACACTAAATTTGATTTTATTTGATTTTTAATTCTATATTTAGATTTTTATATCAGAGAAAAATTCAAAAATATATATCCGAAAAATATGTAAAAAAATAAGATTTATTTGAAATTATAGACACTAAATTTGATTTTATTTGATTTTTAATTATATATTTAAATTTTTATATCAGAGAAAAATTCAAAAATATATATCCAAAAAATATGCAAAAAAATAAGATTTATTCGAAGATACATATCTAAATTCAAATATTTTGTAAAAAAAAAAATATGTTCAGAGATGCATTTTCAAAAATAAAAAACATTTTCGAAATTTCACACCAAGCCTAAGAGAAAAAGCAAGGGCACAATGAAAAATTGCCAAAAATGAAAGCATCCAAACATAATTATGAAAGTCTGCTTGGTATCAAAACAGGTGCAGCCATGCAGCAATTAATCATTTATTGACAACTAAAGATAAAGATAACTCTGGTTTATTGTAAAAACATGATTATTTTCTCATTCACTCTTTTTCCTACTTCCAAGTATTTATCCTTTAGTCAAATTTTAAGGAAAGCAAAAGAACAAAAAAGTGAACAAGTTTTATGAACCAGAGTTCTATATTTTGCATACACATTCTTCTGCTTGTAAAAACACTGGCAACTGAATCAGTTAAATGGCATATATCATAAAACTACCTTTGTCTGAAAAAAAACAAAGCCCTTCCACAACAATTACAATGGACAATATTATTAGTAACAAATATAACATCAATGCTTGTCTGTTTCCAATTCCATTCCTAGTAAACTCAAGGAAACACTAGTAGAGCAACACCATGAACACTTGTTAAGAAGCAAAACTTATCATGACCGAAGTATCGATGGTGGTTGATTTTCGAGAATTAAAAATTTGACAGACTATTATTCACTTCACTCATTAATCTCGTGGACGGGCCAGCCAGAGGGAGCTGAGAGCGCGCAGCCGCGAAAAGTAATCATGTATGGCAAGAAGTGCACGAGCCGATTGTCGTGTTGTCAATATTCGGTGCATTTGTTGTAGAGTCTGCTGGCGCAGATTGTCAGCCTTGTAATAATAATAAAACACACAAATGGAGTCCGTAGTAAGATATTTTTAATCACCAAAAACCGTGCGAAATTAATTGAACATGAGTTTGAATAGAAAAATTTACCTGTCGAATGAAGCCCTCGAGTGTCCCGAGTTTACCCATGGCCATAGCCATTTGACCCATGTAGTTTGCGACGTTCCCTGAGGAACCAGAGGAGGAAGGTGCGCCGGTGGACAACGTCTCTGCAAGGGACTGTTGTAATGCTTCCATGCCTTGAGACAATGCGTCTTCTGCTTGTTGGGAGGATTGTTGCAAGTTGGTAATACCCATCAACTGCTGCTCTGTGAGAGGTTCCAATTGACTTACCAGAAGCTGTAAACAAATTTGTCGCACTAAGTTAAGGTACGGAAAATAAACTCTAGAATGACTCTAGACGTCGAAAGATTAAAACTCGGTTGATAAAGAAAAAGGTAAGCACAAGGTCACCTTGAGAAGCTCAGACGAACGAAAACCGCCAAGCCATAAAAAACACCTCTCAGCAGGTGTTTTCCACATGCCCGACAACAAATGGAAAACATCAGCCTTAGCTGCAACACCTTTTAGCCTAAAAATCTCATCATAATGTGCCAATATACCATCAACAATCATGCGAAGTTCGGTATCACTTGCATGAGAATTTACAGCTGCTCTCAGCTCATTAATTTGCCGATTCTGCTCTTCTAGCCACCTTGCATATTCTGCATCGAATTGCATTGCCCCTGTAAAACAATTAAATGGTTATTATGGATAATGAAACGTAGCTGAAATAAAAGTTAATGATATAACTTGTTACAACATGACAGAAACTAGTTATACGTATTTCTATATACAAACTGAAGAATAAGTAACAATTTCGAAACTACATACCATTTCCACTCAGCGAATGTGTTTGTTCACCCGAGCTTGATATGAAGACTCCCTACAAGAATAAACAATACATTCTGGTTTAAAATATAACACAACTCCCAAGGAAACGTGTAACACAAAAATCAACAGAATCTAACCTGTTGTCTGGCTCGCTGAAGCTCTTGCTCTAGTTGAGTCAGCTTCAAACGACTACTTTCCAACTGTTGGACATAGGCCTATTATGAAAATGAGCATACTGTGTCAGGTCTTGCATTTCAATGGCCAATTGGGGAATGTAAAAACAATCATTTTTTACAATTATTACCATAGGGAGACACGAGAAGTATATGCGTGTGTTTGGTTCAATTCCGGTGAGAATTGCTTTAAATGAATTGATTTTGGTTAAAAGTGAGTTGAATAATAAATCTAAAGCTAAAAGATAGGTTTGAAGGTAAAAGCTATGAATCTTGGCTTCAAGTTAGAATTCATTCTTGAAGCAAAAACAGTTATACTTATAACACTCTTAACATGTCAAAATCAATATCGTGTACTCATAATCGCTTTTGTCTCACAAAAGTGAATCCAATCATGCACTACACACTTGAAAAATAGAGAATGAATTCATCTGAATGCTTGAAAGGTTAAACCCCCAGCCTCATGTATTTATTTATAATGAAAACATTACAATCAAGATCCCTGATTATAGGGATGAAAATCAAAGCATTAATCAGAAAGAGGTAAATAAGTTATAACCCACGTAATGGAAATAAAAGTGAGCGAATCTAGACAACATCTCAACACTCCCCCTCAAGTTGGAGCACATGTTTATCAATCTTGGTACATATATATATAAGATAATCACGGGCCTCTGAGAGACTTGGTGAATTCCTTCTCTATTTATCAAGTTGGTATCAAAGCTTTTAGCAGCTCCATAAGACTTTCTTTCCGTCCCGGGAATTTACCATGCACTAGGAGTTGCTACCTTGTCCGCTTAAGTTTAATTTCCCCTCCCTCCTCCTTGCCTCCTCTAACTCCATGTCTTCTTCGATTCATCTGATACTCACTCATTATTACCATGATGATATCTAGGTTTTTATCCCATGTTCCCTAATTTCCTTTCCCACCATTTCTTCCTTGAAACCATTTTAGAGCATAAAATGGGATAACATTAAAGCATTAAGACTATGGTGAAGACTTGCAAAACAAGTTTCAAAGAAGAAATGGTGGGAATAGAAATTAGGGAACATTGAATAGATATATCATGAAAAGAGAGAGAGAACGACATGTCATGATCTAAAAACCCTGAATATCATCATGGTAATAACGAGTATCAGATGAATCGAAGAAGAAGAAATGAAGTTGGAGGAGGCAAGCAGGAGGGTAGGGGAAATTATACTTATGCAGAGGGTGGTAAATGCCTGGGACAGGATAGTCTTGTGAAGCTGCTAAAGGCTCTGGTACAACTTGATAGATAGATAGATAGAGAAAGAATTCAACTGAATGGTTGAAAGATTAAACCCTCGGCCTTATGTATTTATAATGAAAATATTACAATCAAGATCCTTAAGTTATTGGGATTAGAATCAAAGTTATAATAAAAAATGAGGCATATAAGGTAACCACATAATGGAAATAAAAGAGAGCAAATCAGGACAATATCTCAACATAAACACTAGAAAGGAGTTGCTTGATTCTACTGTATAGCAATCAACTTACCTATAATAGAAAACGCAAGTAATGTTATTCTTTAGCAGCGAAACACAAAAAATAATCAATTTTCGACTGGTTTGCTATAAATTTCTTTTCTAGTCAAATCATGTCTTTGAATCATTATGAAACAATAACAATCTTTATATGGAGAAACAAGAAAATATACAAAACTTAAAAGAATGAATAATAACTGAAAATATTTAAGTAAAGACATTCCCTACTTTTTTTCTCAACCGGCTTTTTCTTGCTGCCTCACGATTTTGAGCAAGCCTGCGGAGAGTCTACAATAACATTAAAAAAAAAAGTCATTACATAACCGATACTAATTACAATTTAAGATGTTATCCATGCAATAAATTTGATAATAGTATTTATTAACCTTTTGATCTGATTTATCCTTTGATCTGTCACTGGAGTCGGAACCCACAGGAACAAGAGATTGATTTGTATCAAACTGCAAATATAGCATGCATAAAATGTTAGATTGTCAACTATGTCTACCAACAATGCTTCTTATCTGATTAAGGCCTTGTTTGGATAAACACTTAAACTAAGGTCTTGTAGCATAAGTGCTTATCATATAAGTGTTTGTGCATAAGCTATATCTAAAACAAAAGAAAAAGTATAAAGGTTGAGAAAATTTCACCCGTTGATTCTTGTCATCGGTGTCAACATCTGTAGAAATATCAGTCCTAGGACTGGCATCAGCCATGGTAAACTCTTCCTGGTTTTCTATATGAACACTTAATATCGAACTGCTGCTAAGATTTGATGATTGAAGCTTTGTTAATTGCAACCTATGTGGCTCTGTTTGATTCTCCAAGGGGCTTTTATCAAGTGATGTTGGAAACTATAAAGAAAAAAGAAATAACTTTTTTAAATTAGACGTTTCGTACGGCTAAAACTTCAAATTTTATACCGAAGTAGGAAGTACATTAGAAGAAAAGAACAAGAGAAACTTACTTTTCCAAGAGTACTTATGTGAGCCGGGCCGGGAGAAATTGTTTGGCCACTTACTTTTAGTGAGTTAAAAATCGAGTTTGAATCTATAATCAGAAAAATTCATTAGCAAAGGAATGGATGGAAAAAAAAAAGTATATGTTTGTCAACAAGAACTCGTAAAAGGATAGACATTGATATCTAGGTGCAAGGGTACATTTCAGTGCTTTTGAATAGCGACACTATAGCACAGCAAAATTTGAACAGATCGTTGCTATTGTTCCGCGATACACTATAGCATTGTTGCGGAGCAGAAAATGAATAAACCACTATTTTCAGCGATGCGCAATTACAAGAAGACTTACTTCCACTCAGAGCAACGGCATCCTCTATGCGATACGGCTGACCAAATGCTCCAAAGTCAGAAACATGAAAAGCATCAACTGTGTTCCCTTCTGTATAGCTGAAACCCGTATTTCGTCAGAGTTAGACTAACGTATCATAAGTCGGTCCATATGTTCTATTTTCAAGAAAAATTGCATAGAAACAGAAACCATCTATAAGTTGATTGATCATTGAAACTTCAAAAGGTAAATACGATGAACCGTGAAGTGAACCGAGCCAAATTCCAATCAACAAATCTAAAAATTCGGTTTAAGTTAAACCTAGAATGCAAAATTGAGATGAAGTATTAATATACCATGCATCGTCGGAATTGAAGCTCGGCATCCCTGTTTCTGCTCCCTTCTCATCTTCAAAACTAACCCTGATTCTACTTCCCATGCATCATTCCCACCACCATCACATCATCAAATTCCACTGCCTCTCAATAAATTACAAAACCCTAAAATCCCTAATCCCTAATCCAAAACAAAACAACAAAATTACAACTTCAGTTAAGCTAGAACAACAAACAACCCCATACCATAGATTTCAACCTAGTAAAACATGAACTGAACTATTCCAATCACAAGAAGAAGAAAAAAAACTATCCAAAAACAAATCACAACCCTTTATTTGTATAGTAAAAAACAATAAAAAAAACACAAACTTTGGCAAATCCATGTGTACTCACACACAAAAAAAAAACACCAAAAAAAGTGGTTAAAAGTCAAAGCAGCACACTTTGACAAGAAAAAGACTAATTTGACACAAACTCAGCTAGACCCAGATGCAAAAACACAAAAAACAACAAAACAAAAAACACCAAATCCAACATGAACAAGATCATAAATTCAAATCACCTAGTATTAACTCAAGTTGAAGTTAAATTCAGCATGAACATGATTGTTTGTATTTACTCATGTTATGTAGCATAATAAAAAATAAAAAAAAAATCTTTAGATAAAAATGAAACAAACCCCACCTTGTAAAATTGATGACGATGAGTGATGATTCAAGTTTATTATTGCATTAATGAAAAAATGAATAAAGTAGTAAAGGGGTTGAGGAGAGAGAGAGAGAAAGAGAGACTTGGATGGATGATTCCAATCTCTAGATGTCTTCTTGTGTTCAAAATTTCCACTTTTCAAGGATTAATCATTTTTTAATTACTTTTCTATTTTCAGTACATTTTTATTTTTATTTCAATTTATCATCTCATGATATATATATTAAAAAGTCAATTTAATAAATTAATATTTTTGAATTTAAAACTTTTTTTATTTTAAATTTGAAAATTCAATTAATTATGTAGATAAATTTTGAATAATTAAATTCCAATTTACTGCAAAAAATTAATCACTCTAAAACTATATATTTTAATATAATAAAAAGTAAAAATAATTATTAAAAATTGGAATTGATGTAATTTTGATTAGAGGATGTTTTTAAAAGTAATTAATGAAATTTAAGAAATTAAAAAAATGAGAAGATTTAGAAGGAAAGGAAAAACATAAAAGGAAATGTTCGAGAAAAGTGCAATATTATTAATGTTTTTGGGGTTATTTTAATTTTGGAAATATTTTGTTTGCAGCTGTATGCGTCAGAGAATCAAGGATGAGAAGATATACTGACACTGTAACAACACAACACACGATGATGTCTATCAATTTCTTTTACAGCTAGCTAGTGTATTTTCAGTGCGGAGGCAATTATTTAGAGCATATTCATATTTTACATAACATAAATAAATATTTTAATTTTTCTATATTGTGAATACAATAAATGATTTTCTTGTTTTTTAATGTTTAATAATATATATAAATGGTTAAATAAATAAATGATAATTTATTTCTTATATAATGATTTTATCAGTTATCAAAAAGAGGAGTGGCCGATCCAAATGTCAATTGATTCAAGAGTTCTATGAAAGGCGTTGTACCTGCAAGACACTTTGATGCTGAAGTCAGAAAGAGTGAAAGTAAATGTGAGAGAGAGATAGAGACGTGAACCGAATACCTGACCCTCCTGTACAGCCCTCAGCACTGAGTCAATGTCCATATTATAGGCTGAATATCCAATCACATAATGGATGATTGTCAGGATTCTCACGTGAGAGTGAGGATGGGCATCACATGTTCATCATCATGGGTCAACTGCTCTGAACTTCGTGGATAGTGGGCTGACCACGTTCGTTACGAAGGTTGCAATGACTTCTTAGTTATGCGAAGTGTGCAGAATAAGTTGATGATGTGACCTCGTGTGAGGGGCACGTGGAGGATGTGTCTTCAGCTTGGACCTCAATGGATCGGGTCATCATTTGGGCCATCCTCGACGCAGGGGCGAGTTTGGTCGTGCCCGACAGTGGGCCAGCCACGAGCCCAGTCCAGAACAGAAGCCCCCCCAAGTCGTTATTCCTAGGTAGAGGAATAATGACTTAGAGTCAGTTCAAATGTTAAGGAGGGACAAGGGGCTCTACGCGAGGTGAGCCTTCATTTGTGCTCGAGATTGTAGTGCTCACGATTGCATGCCCACAACGGTGGTGTTCGTCATGGGTGTTTCTCCTTTGTGAGCTAGTGTGCACGAGGAGGACTTCTTGCCTGTGACTGGCAACATTTTCGTTTACACGGATGATATAATATGTAGGGGTCGTGGTCAACAGTTTAACTCTTGCTCGCGTATCACCACGATGTTCGTAACTTTGCTTTGAGGTTTCCTCCGAGGGTGTGCCCGTGAAGGAATACAACAGTTTTTTCGTTTGTGTCCGAGCAGGGATGCTCGACATCTAGGGAGCCGGGAGACTTGACGGATCTTGAAAAGACAAAAGATTTGTCTCTCGAGCCACTCGTTACAACATTTAATGTGTAATGATAGCCTAGGCATATGAGTCATTATGGCCTAGGAGTAAGGGCAATCATGAGTTGAAACAGTGACACGTCACCCCAAGCGTTGTCAGGTTTTCTCGCGCGGAGAGATTTTATAAATAGCGAGAGTGGGGAGGCATTTACAACTTTGCATTTCTTCTTCACTTTGTGAGTTGTAGACAATTCTCCGTCTGTTGTTATTATTGTCGTTGCCAATGTTGTTGAACCTTCGTCCACTCTCGTTTTCTTCTCAAAATCATGTAAGTGTCTCTCTTTGATGCTGCATTTTTACCATTTGTTCTTGTTTTTACGCGTTTTGCATGTTGCGCGTTTAGCTCCAGCAATTTTGGTGTTTGGCAGTGGTTTAGCCATTCCCGAATGTTGGTGTCAGTGAGAAATATTGGCATTTTGAGTAGGAAACTAAGATAGTCTGTGATTTCTGCTCTGGCGTTGCCGTTACAACGGTGAATAGGATGCGCGCCGGTGAGATTCATGAGTTTTGTGAGTACAAACTTTATCGTTTGATGTTTTGAATGATGACAAAACTGGAAAAACTTGCACTTTTAGGTATTAGATAATATCCTTATGTCTTGTGGCACTCTTCTGCATTAGAGGGTCTTAGGAACCATAAAAAAGCATTTAGAAATTGATTCAAGTCATTAAAAACAAGTTTTTACATGATTTTCAACTGCATGTATCGACACATCCTTATTTCAGGTCGACACATGTAACATATTTTTAAAGCTTGTAGCTTCTGTAAGCCTTAGGCCGGCACATGCACTCTTTAGGTGACACATACTGAAGCTTTTCTGAATTTGCTGAAAATCTTATTTTATGTGTCGACACATCCACTTTTCAGGTCGACACACTTACTATCATATTAAAGTCTGTAGCCTCTGTAACTGTTCGGTCGACACGTAGAACTTTTTAGGTCGACACATGCTTTCAAAATATCACGTATGTGTCGACACATACGAATCTTGAGTCGACACGTAGTGTTTTACTTGGTCAATTTTTTAATTTCTTTTATTTCGAAATTATCCCTCTTTGCCCTAAATTTTCCAAAACTATAAATACTCGTTCATGCATTATTCCAACTTGTTGAAAACCATAAAATTAGCATATTCCTCTCTTCATCTTCTTCCTCCAAATCTATGCATACACACTGACATTAAATTGTAATGATGTTTTGTTGGGGTCCCATCAAGACAAGGATTTCTAGTGTCCAATTGTGTATTGGGTGGAGTTTTGTAGGGGTTTTCATCCAGAAAAAACATCGGGTTTATCCTTTAAGATCATTGATTTATTTGGGGGTTTTCGTGTAAAATGTTCGAGAGGTAATTTCGGTAAAGTGAACAACCTTGGAGTGCTTAAAATCTTTGCAATGAACCTTTGAGTGTTTGAAATATTTGCAAGGAAGTAACTTGGAGTATCGGATTGAATCGAAGTTTTGTGTTACAATTGTTTGAGATTAACGGTGCACGAAAGCTTTGGAGATAAAGAAAGCAAAGGAGTAGCAAGATCCAGATAGTCATTTCTCACCAGTTGTGTCTTTGTCTTTCTCAAGATCAAAAGAAGAGAAAGGATTGAATCAACAACAAGCGTAGGGTTTATGGAGTTGCTCTTGAATACTTCTCTTGTACCAATAATTATTTTGCATAGTAAGAATTATCCTAATTCCATTGGAGTTAGGCACAGACGTATCCACACGTGAGGACGACAATGGGAAACTGTGAAGACAAATTCCTTGTGTCGCTTTTACTTTTAGCTTTTACTTTTCGCTTTTACTTGCTTTGATTTTTATTGATCAATATATCAAATAGCATTTTTGTTATCATTTGAATTGTAAGAATTTTCCTACGTGATTTTATTTTTAAGTTATGTGTTGATATAACTTATAATCACTTTTGATTATAAGTGGTTTTGTGTATCAACACAATAAAAGAAAAAATTCTGAAAATTCACTTGCATACCAAGTGTTTGATCATTGACTAAACTAGTTATTTTGATTTTATCATTGGAAATGGTCTTGTTAAGAAAATTGATTAAACAATAAATAAGTTGCAAAGTGATTCAAGGTTATTAATTTAATCGTTCTCATTCCATCTTAATTTTTGATTTACGGTTTGCATATTCGAGCTTCCTGATAACGTTCGTAAAGACGACAATTTATTTCCACTTCATACTTTGATAAAACCTTTTCAAAACCAAGTTTTATTTGGATATTTTCAAAAGGGGCATCTATTCACCCCACTCTAGATACCGTTTTCGTAGTCTAACAAGTTTCGTAACGAAGTTCATGTGGCGGGGAGATTCTCCCCAATAAAACTCATGATTTTTTGATGAAGTTCGTGTGTGGAGGAAGCTTATCCTAGCGAGACTCATGAGTCTCCAATGAAGTTCATGTGTCAGAGGAGCTTATCCCCCGCGAGATTCATGAGTCTCCAATGAAGTTCATGTGTCGGGGAAGCTTGTCTCCACGATGTAGCGGTAGAAATGTTCAAGACTAAGCCATTGGATTGACTAGACTTTATACAAATCAAAATAAAAATCGCCATCGTGCTTTATTGTTTCCAAAGGAATGGGAAAAGAGAGAATAACCCAAAAAGGGGGAAAGATTCAAGGTAAGGGGGTTGGTTATGTAAAGGGAATGTATTATCACCCTAAACATCTACGGTGCTCCCCAGGAACCTCTTTGAAAAATCTGTATATTTTGGCTATAAAAATGTGTTGTATATAAAATGGATGGTGGGGGTGAGAAAAGAAATATTTTTTATGATTTTTGCACCCGCCGCGGTTGCGAACCTTTACTGCCTACGTACCACCTTTCGTGCAATAGGGGATCAGGGTACACGTAGTTCCTCTTTTAAAAATTTAAAACACAAGTGTGTTGGTTAATTTTATGAGATAAGACATCATCGTCATTGTCCGTGTGGAAAACATACTTACTATCCACAATCATGAGAAAGGAGAATTTGCATCATCTCAAAGTGGAGGATATGGCTTGGATTTTAAAATCAACAATGCCTCACTCAACACCCAAGTGGAAAATATCTATCTTTACTACATACTGTAGAAGTATATTTGTTTGCATCACTACAAGGATTGACAAGAGTCTAATCTTTTGAGAAAATTCTAAAGATAAAAGCCAAAGTGGCAAAATGGTTTGAAATGAGATTGGTTGACTTTTAGTCTTATCACAAAAATGTCAAGGTATTATTAAATTGATTGAAATTTATTTATGAAAATGTTTTGAAAATGCATGGACCTAAGTCTAAGTTTATTATGAAAGTGTTTCAAGTTTAGAGATGAGAAGAGTTTTTAAAAGGAGGGAGAAGATTTTTGAAATCAAAGAAGATGGGAGGAGATGAAGAGATTATCCTAAAGCATAAGGTAAAAGCTAGGGATAAGAACCATCTAACCAACAAGAAGCCAATACTTGACATTATGAGTCAATATAGAATTCTTATTCTTCGGATTGAAACCAAGCAAGCAAAGATACTAGACCTCTTGAGAGAACCAAACTTCAAATGTTTTAAGTCTTCGCAAAAATTGGGCAGAGTAACGGCTGTATATGGGTGAATTCCAGATTATAAACAAAGAGTGTAATCACAATAACCTGCACACAAAACAAACAAACAACCCAATGTCTTGAGGTAAACCTCAAGAACTCCAGACAAAATAATCAAGTAAGATCACAAGGTCTCCAAGATAGGCCAAGGTCTCTAATCCTAAGTCCAAGAAGTCCAATGCTCCATAATGCCAAGGATAGTAACCAAATAGTCCAAGTATCATTAAAGATTTTTATGGTTCATGTTGATTATTATGTGTCTTTAAAAGGAAAAGAAAAGCTCAAGTGAGCAAAATAAAAATGACATAAAAGTAAATGCTCAAGTGAGCAAAATAAAAAAATGGCATGAAATGTAAATGCTCAAATTAAATGGTACATAAAGCATAAAAAATAAAGCAAAAAGTAAAGTCAATTGTTAGAAATTAGTGGTTAGTTGGAAGACCATCTTGAAACTTGCATTTGGAACTCATTAGAGGATTGGTAGAACCAAAGCCTCCATACAACAAGTTGCATTTGCTTTTTGTCAAGTATATCATCCATTTTGGAATCCTAAAAAGTAACATTTAATGATCAACGATGTTTAAGTGATCCACGTTGACCAAAGGTGTTGTAGATCCATTAGAAGATTGGTAGAACCAAAGCCTCCACACAATGAATCTCAAGGTTATTGGATCAAAGAGATCAAATTAACATACTTGGGCTTGCAATCATAAGTTTGGGCCACGAATGATCATTTATTCGAATTGGGACAAAATTTAGCGCCATGTTAAGCAATCGTAAGTGGACTTATGTAGAAGTCGCACCTATTTTGAGGACAGTCAATAACAATCTATGTACTTCATGTTTGGATAAATGATATAGAGATCACTATCCCTTAACATGTAGCACAATTAAAAAGAAAGGGACAAGATGAAGAGGGAGGGGAATGATAAGCTAATTTGGATCACCATTTCAAAATTCTTTCATCTTTAAATTCAACCACTCCTCTAGATAGATTAAAGCATTAAACATATCATTAATCCAAAGCACCAAAAATGAATTAAATAATTCATTCTTAGGTAGATTTGAATTGATGAACATTTATCCAACTTCATCTACATCACAAAGTCCATTGAGTTTAAAGACAAATTGGACATTTAAAATTGCAATCCAAATTATCCATCAAAGAGAGTGAGCAGAAAAAAATATTTGAGTCAAAACAGCCCCAAAATAAGGCAGAAAAAGTATTTTTGACATTGTTACAATCGATTGTGCTTCGACAGCAACCTATTGCATCAGTGCAGTTTTAAAAAAAATCAATTTTCTGTGACAAACAATTGCAATGTTACAATAATTGATTGTAACCTGTTAAAATAAGTCGAAAACAACATCTCAAAGATCAAATTCTTGTTCCAACTTTTCATCAAACACCTTATGATCATGGATCCAATTGAGCATGAAGATTCCATCAAATTATGAGAAAATAGCACTAATGGAATCATAAAATAGTGTTCAATGAATCAAAACCAAAAATCCACAAGATATCACATTGTGAAAGATGATGATCCAACTTACCAAAGGTAGAATTAAAGAATTATCAAACAACTTCAGAATTTGCTTCAATTCAACAACAAGAATCAATTACCAAAGCTTGGATGTGAATAATTGATGAAGAAAAAGTGTTTGGATGAAGGTTTAGCTCAAAGATTAATAAGCTTCAATGCAAAGCTTACTATCTTTTTTTTCTAAAAATGGAGCTTTGAGTGAATTTGGTAGATGGAGAGAAATGAGAGATTTTTTAGCAAGATGAGTTTGGCTATCAAAAGCTTTTTTTTTTGAATGAAATGAGGTCTCTATTTATAGAGTTTTAGGATTGGGATTAGTGGTAATTTGGTAATTGATTCTTGGAGCCAAAATTGAATTAATGATATAATTTTCAAATTA